TGGCTACCTTACTGTAATTCTGGATGAATCATCGGTAGAAATTCGAGAACCCCAGGAAGCGTTGAAGTTGTTTGCGGTCCTGGGGTGTAGGCCAGTCCGTCACAGCCTTAATCTTCTCTGGGTCTGAGTGAACCTGCCCCTCCTCGAAGATAAGGCCCAGAAAGGTTATAGATGATATGTGGAACTCACATTTTTCTGCCTTCACAAACAGCTTGTTCTCCAGGAGTCTCTGCAGAACTGCCTTAACATATCCCGTGTGTTGAGAGGGGTCCTTGGAGAAAATCAAGATGTCATCCAAATAGACAAAAACGAACACGTTTAAAAAATCCCTTAACACATCATTGATAAGATTTTGAAAAACGGCAGGTTCATTGATGAGTCCAAAGGGCATTACGAGATATTCAAAATGGCCTAAAGGAGTCTTAAAAGCAGTTTTCCATTCATCCCCCTCCCGAATTCGTACCAAGTGGTAAGCGTTACGTAGGTCCAATTTTGTAAATATTTTAGCATCCTGTAGTTGGTTGCAAGCAGAGTCCATCAGGGGAAGGGGATACTTGTTTTTAACGGTGATCTGGATAAGCCCTCTGAAGTCTATGCAGGGCCTTAGTGTCTTTTCCTTCTTAGAGACAAAGAAGAAACCAGCACCGAGGGGGGATGTAGAGGGACGAATAATACCAGCCCTTAGGGATTCGTCAATATATTTCCTCATAGACTCTCTTTCCGGGCCCGACAGGTTGTATAGTCTACTGGAGGGCAGGGGAGCACCAGGAAGAAGATCTATGGGGCAATCGTATGGTCTATGGGGTGGTAAGGATAAGGCCTCCTGTTTGCTAAAAACTGGGGCTAGAGAATGGTACTCAGGAGGAACCTTAGAGAGGTCAATCTCTTCAGAGGTTGGGAGCGGAAAGGACCCAGGAGAAATGGCAGAACGTAAACATTCACTAGAACAGCCCTCCCCCAACCTTTCGATTTGCTTACTCCTCCAGTTGATAAGAGGGCTGTGTTTATTAAGCCATGTGTAACCCAGAATGAGTTGGGGTCTAGTGGATTCAAAAACAAAAAATTCAGTAAATTCATGGTGATTACCTGAGAGGACTAGATGGAGAGGGCGAGTCCTGAGGGAGCTGGAGGAAATGGTCTGACCAGTGAGTGCAGCCACGTTGATATTCTGATTCAGAGGAACAGTTGGAATGTTAAGTTTCTGTACAAGGTTTGCACTGATGAGATTCTGTTCGGCCCCCGAATCTATCAGGGCCTGAGTAGAAAAAATTGTATTTGCAACACACAGGATAGCAGGTAAATAAAAATTGTGGTCAGGAGAAAAAGCAATGTTACCAACCAGTATCTCCTGAACTACTGGGGATGCTTCCCTTTTAACAGGAGCTGACAATCTCTCACGTAATGGCCAGTTTTGCCACAGTACATACACTCATTGGCCACAAATCTCCGCTGTTTCTCCTCTGGAGATAATTTTGTCCGTCCCACCTGCATAGGTTCTGGTTCGGAGGATGTTGAGAGTGGAGCTGAAAATTTATTTCCGGTTTCAAGGAAGCTACGGAACTTATAGCTTTTTTCCATATTACGTTCTCTGATCCTGTTGTCAATGCGGATCGCGAGACTAATAAGCTCATCCAAGTCTCGGGGGGACTCACAAGTTACAATTTGGTCTTTGATGTTGTCATTTAGGGCATTTAGAAAGGCGCCCCTTAGCGCGACTTTATCCCAACCGGACTCTTCCGCAATAGTGCGGAAGCGGATGGAGAACTCAGAGACAGATCTTGACCCCTGTCGAATCGTGAATAGTCTTTGTTCCGCTTCCTCTTGGAGCAACGGGTGATCAAAGGCTAATCACAACTCTTTAATGAAAACAGCGTACGGCAGGGAAGCAATGGGGCGGGAGCGAAGGTGCGCGTGTGCCCATCTTAGAGCCTCACCTTTGAGGGCACTTACAATATACGTGATCCGGGACGAGTCGGAAGCGTACCTGATAGGAGCCTGGCTGAACGCAAGGTCACACTGCAGGAGGAAGTCTCCAAACATCTTCTTGGAGTCACCTTCAAAGAATTCTGATGGCCGCACGTCTGGTTCTCAGGTGCAGGGGGTCATAGGCACAGCGAGGGGTTCGGGTTGGCTGACAGGGGATGGGCCCCTTGCAGCTCCTGCCAGGGTGGAAAGCTGTTGCCCGATGTTGTGGATCATGTTGCCGAGCTCCTGCTGCTGTGCGAGGATCTGCTGGAGGGTATGATCATGATTATCAATACAGGTACTTTGTGATCTTAAGGCCTGAGTTATCGGACTCTCTTCAGTCATGCCTTGAGGGTCTGAGTGGCTTGAGCATTCTAACATGATTCTGAGTATTAATGACCCCAAAATGGCAGACTGAATAGACTCGAGACTCAGGTAAAACAAAAAAAGTGATATTTATTTACAATGCAGGAAAAACTGGAGGCTGGGCTGCGGAGGGAAATAGGAGATTGGGTGAGTAATTGATCCCAAAGAGATGGTCCAATAAATAATTATTCTGTTTATGAAATCCTTCCTTACGGTTGGTTCGGTTGCAGATGGTGTCGGATGGAAGAGTCCAATGTTGGGCCTTGAGTGGGTAATGCTGGTGTGCAGGTTCAGAGGACCAGAGCAGCCAAGGAGTCAGGGGGGAGCCGAGAAAACAGGACGAGGCAGAACTGGCAGACGGACAGAAAATCACAAAGGTTAGTCAGGATTCACCAAAGTACACGTGAAGGCTTTCGCTGATTTACCAAAGGCAATCAATGCGCAAGCATTGGCTGAACGTCTGGCACGGGTTTAAATAGTGCAGCAGGTACTGGTCAGGAATCAGGTGCAGGTGTGATCCATTAGGTGCTCGTTGACTGTGTAGGAAGGAAGTAGAGGTAGGAAAGACTAGGAATCCCACACTGCTGCCACTTTGTGCTATTTTACGGAAACACAACATACCCTTTCACTTCTACGCCGACGACTGTCAAATTTACTTCCCCCTAAGACACAATGTTACATGCTCTATTCAACCTCTGCTCGACTGCCTGGCTGACATCAGGGACTGGATGGCTTTAAACTTCTTAAGTTTCAATGAAAAGAAGTCTGAAGTCATGTTGTTCCCTCCCAATGACACGATCACAAACCACTGCATCGACCTTTCCACTTTATCCCTGTCAGAAAAACAAAGAGTCACTAATCTGGGCGTGATAATAGACACTTCCCTGAAACTTAACAATCATGTAAACATGATTGTTAAATCATGTTTCTTCCAACTGAGGCGGCTGTCTAAACTAAAGCCCATATTGTCCAAAAATAACCTGGAGACTGAAATCTATGCATTCATTACATCTAGGCTTGATTACTGCAATTCACTCCTGTTTGGTATCAGTCAGACCTCCATTGCACGACTACAACTGGTCCAGAATGCAGCAGCCCGATTTTTAACCAGTACAGGCAAAAGAGAGCACATTACACCAGTTTTGGCCCCACTGCACTGGTTACCGGTTCACCTTCGAATCCAGTTCAAAATACTCCTGTATGTCTACAAATCACTGAACAGTGTCCCCCCCGCCATTTTCTACAACCGTATGTCCCACCACGTTCCCTGAGGTCAGCGGACAAATTGGTCCTCACAGTTCCAGGAACTCGTCTTAAGCGCAGAGGTGACAGGGCCTTCTCTGTAGCAGGACCTAGACTCTGGAACGAGTTACCTCTGCTTGTCAGACAGGCCCCCTCCCTCTCGGTTTTCAAATCCCATTTAAAAACTCACTACTATTCAGTAGCATTCAACACCAGAGGATCTGTGTTTTGAACCTGTACGCTCCACACTGGTTTGTCGTCATATTAATTATCTGCATCGTTTTTATGTCTATATTCTGATTTACTTCATTTTGTATTTTGCTTTGTGTGTTGTCTGTTGTTCTGTCTGTACAGCACTTTGGTTGGCCTTGTAGCTGTTTTAAGTGCTTTATAAATAAAATGGTATGGTATGTTGGATAAACTCACGGATCGTAACTTCAGCATCCTCCTCTGCTCGTTCTGGGATCCCTGAGAAGACAAGATTGTCTTCCATGCTCCGAGCTTGGATGTCCAGGATGGACTCCTTCATTTTTCTGTTTTCTATGGACAGCTACATCATCCCCTCGGTGAGTTGTTTGATGTTTTCCCGCAGAGTTTGGTTCTCAGCAGCGAGCGACGCCACCTGAGCTTGGCTGAACACCAGAGACTCCCTCAGTGCTTGGAATTCCTTGTGGAGAACCTCCACCAGGGCCAGCTGGGCATCTGAGCTGGTTAGCTTCTTGTCTATAGAGTCCAGGACATCAGTGAAACTTTTCTCTGGAGAGGTGGACATGCTGGTTGAGCTCTCTGAACGCGTGCGTTTAGGAGTTGGTTTGGCCATGGATGTGCTGTTTTTTGTGGTTTGACCATCACGATGTTGTTAAAACACTCGTCCACGTAACTCTCCAGACTGTCCAAGGTTTCCTCGTCCAGTTTGGTTTATTGAAACAATATGCAGAAGTTATTATTAACAATGTTTTTTATGTTTGATTTTAATATATTGGCTTATTTTACCTGAATCGAACAGTATTTGTTTGGTTTAGCAGTATCCTGCCATGTTACTAACGCAGCACAACTCTCACGTGATCTCAACAGCTCATCACCAGGTGCACTCTGAAAATGACAGTCATTTAAAATTTGAACATTTGTACTTCAAGGCTGAGAGCTTTAAAGATTGATAGGGTAAAAGGGAAAAAATATTAGTATTTTAAAACAGGCATGTAAGGTGGTAACTTTAATTTCAGAACAATTATTGCCATCAAGTTGAGAAATGTCTGGGCGCTAATTAAGGAGAAGAAATAATTAAGACAGAGACAAAAACAATTTTTTGTGACGTAAAGGATGATGTAATAGCTGTGTTCAGCTGAGACTAATCAAGAACTAGTGGAGGTAAAAAAATAAATAAATAAATGAATCAGCTGTACAAATGAGTAGCAGGCTGTCTGATGATGGAGATACAGAATGGTGCAGAACTCTGTTTCCCACATCTTTTCAACAGCTCCTGCAAGAAGCCAATACTTCCCTGGACTGAAGCTGTGCTCCTGAATACTGTGCTCTTCTTCATCTGCCTTATTGCTGCAGCTCTCAACCTGCTCGTCATCATCTCAGTCTCCCATTTCAGGCAGAGAACCCCCAAAACAAATCCAAAATGTATTCAGTCTTTTCAGTTTTATAGAATGTTGTTGAATAATACTTCTGTGTATCCTTTCAGGCAGCTCCAAAAACCCACAAACATCCTACTCCTCTCTTTGGCTGTCTCAGACTTCTTGGTTTGTTTCCTGATGATGCCAGTTGAAATCTTTAGAAACACTGCATGCTGGTTATTTGGGGACCTCCTATGTATATTATATTTCTATGTTGCCTGTGTTGTTCTTTGTGCTTCAATTGGAAACATTGTTTTTATATCAGTTGACCGTTATGTCGCTATTGTCGACCCTCTGCATTATCCCAACAAAATCACTTTGGTAAGGGTTAAATGCTGTGTTTGTTTGTGTTGGCTATGGAATGTTTTCTACATTATTTTGATTTTGAAAGAAGAGTTGATTCAACCTGGCAGAAGAAATTCCTGCATCGGACAGTGTGAAATGTCTCTTAATTATATTGCAGGAACTGTTGATCTGATATTAAACTTCATATTTCCTGTCACAATCATCATTGTTCTATACTTAAGGGTTTTTGTGGTGGCTGTGTCCCAAGCTCGTGCCATGCGCTCTCACATTACAGCTGTCACACTGCAGCTCTCAGTGAATGTAAAAAATAAGAAGTCTGAGTTAAAAGCAGCTAGGACACTTGGTGTTCTTGTAATAGTATTTTTAACATGTTACTGCCCATATTACTGTTATTCTGTTGTTGAAAGTGATTTAACCAGTACACCCTATGCATCCTTTTTTTTCTTTCTCTTTTATTTTAACTCCTGTCTAAACCCTGTGATCTATGCTTTGTTTTACCCCTGGTTCAGAAAAGCTGCTAAACTTATTGTCACTCTGCAGATACTTGAACATGGCTCCTGTGAAGCCAACATATTATAGAGAAACAACAGACTGTCTACTATGACAATCTTCAATAAATATTTCCAGTCCCATTTCAAAAGTTCAGTGGTCTAAATAGAGTGAGGGTTACGTTTTTAATGTAAACAAAACATTTAACCATACATCTTGGAGTCTGGTTTCATAAGAACAATACAGCTTGCACACTACATTTTGTCTGCCTAAAACACATCTCTCTTGAAAATGAGTCCTTGTAACGCAGTGAGGCAACCTGTATAAATAAGGGTGAAATAAAATAAAATACCTTCTTTAAAATGTGACGCAATGATTTTGATGAAGAATAGTTTTCTATTTATTGTAACATGTTGGATAATTTAACTCAGCTTGAAATGTTGGTTTTACAGTTTTTTTATTTATTTATTTGTTTTTATTCTTACTGTTTGCTCTTTTATGATTTTAACAGTTCGTTTCCTTTATGGTTTCAGTTGATTTTATAGTTTTTTTTTTTATGTTTGCTTGTATCTGTTAGTGTACAAGCACTTTGGCCAACAGTGTTGTTTTTAAATTGCTTTATGAATAAAGTTGTGATGTATTATATTATTGTACTTTGAATATTGAAGATTGTCTGTATTTTTTAGTGTTATTCTGTAAAACATAAAATAAAAAAATTCACCTTCAGTTTGGCCTTTTTCTTTATACTTGTTCCTTAGAAGAAAAGAATGACCATCTCACATGACTGCTGAAATACAATATATAACTTATTGGTATTTTTGTCCTCTATGAAACTAGACAAACTTTTGTAAAGCTAAAACAAACCTGAAAAAGGTAAATATAATTTAAAGGGCATTTTATGTTTGCTATTTAACCCTTATATGCCCCTTTTACTATTTGACAATGAGCAGTGGTGGGCACGGTTCCGCTAATCCACTAATAGTAGAGCTAACTTTCCATGTAGCAGATTAGTATTTTCACTAACTTTCAAAACGATTAGTAGCATTAGATCTTGCAAAATTTAAATCAGATAAATTCAAGACCACAAATTTTTATTTTGGACAGTTTTCTGCACTAAATTCATTCAGAGCAGAGGTGATTTACAGAGATCTATGCTATGCAGAACTAAGCACTACCTGTTAATGTAATCAACGTTGTAATGGTTTTTTCCCTCCTCATATATATCCCAAGCAGTCTCTGACGCACGGTGTCAGTTTAAAGCCAATAACAGACATAAATATGAATGCCAAACCAGAAAAGGAAATTAACATGAAAAACTCATTTTAACATTCAGAAACATTGTCACCTTGAGTAACATTGCACACATAATTCCTACTGAGCTTCCTTTGCAATGCTCACTCTGTCTCTGTGATGTGACCCTCACAGATTTCACGCATCTTTATTTTAGTACAGATTTATTACAGAGATAACATTTATGGTGATGCACAGCAACTTTGTACTTGGTTTATAAAAGTAATTAACCACAAAGAGGACTGCCAAAGTGAGTTAATTCTCATCCTTTTGAGGACCAAAATGTGCACATTTTGGACCGAGAACACAGATGGTTTGAGAGGGGGGTCAAGGAAGCAATTTATGTAAAAAGAGAAAAGCCGTCTCTTAACAGAGGAGGAGGCCTCACATTTCCACTTTCAAAAACATATAATGCAACTTTAAAACAGATTCCCAGCCAGTTTTCACACTTGATGGGAACAGAGGGGCCTCGTCTGTGAATTAGAGGAACAAAGACCTACTGTTTAGGTGTTTAGGTGTGAACTGCCAATCTACATATGTGTGTGTGTGTCTTATGTGTGTGTGTGTGTGTGTCTTATCTCAGTCAGCCTTATAACCTGAATCTCTCACTCTCTGCTCTTTGAATTGAGAAAGCTCCTCGGATGAGGAGCGAAACGTCTTCTGTTACAAATAAAGTCCAGTTGTTTTTGTATTGAACGCTTTTTGAATTCATCATGTCCTGGATGACTGAGAATCTTCACCAGCTTAATTCTCATTATAGTAAATGACATGAGGAAAACATCCAGCACACATTGGATGCATCACTCTGCTTCAGCACAACAGAGTTCTGCTCCGCCTCTTTGGTTTTGATAGACAGGATTCATTTCTGAAACTGTAGTAGCTTTTACTACATAGATACTTAAATCATTAAATAAAACAACCGACGCTTGACTCTATATTGACAGCAAAAAGTCAGGGTTTATCGTAAAACACTGGAACTTTGAACAGCACAAGCACTAAATAGAACATCCCGCTCGGACGTCTTCTGACATTCTTCATATTCTCAATTCAGTTTAATAATACAGTGCCAAATCACAACATAAGTTGTCTCAGGACACTGTACAAAAACATTCACATACATACAAAAGCCAATTAGTAAAATGTATCTATCTAATTAAGCTAATTCGATAAATTTTCACTTCATCACAGTCGCCCATCTTGAGCAAGCGCAAAGGAGACAGTGGAAAGAAAAAAAAAAACTTGCTTTTAACAGGAAGAAACCTCCAGCAGAACCAGGCTAAGGACAGGCAGCCATCTGCTTCGACCGACTGGGTTTGAGGGAACAGGAAGGAGAAAGAAACAAACACAGCAGGGCAGGTCCAGGTGTAGGTGCAGCCAGAGGTGGACTGGCCATCGGGAGCACCGGGACATTTTCTAGTGGCATGGCCTGCTCAGTGACCGCCAAGGAGCTGGTCCAAAGGCTCGGTTCGGGCCACGTTCAATTATTTAAAATAAACAATCCATGCTGCTCACTCAGGTATCCACCTCACTGAAGCTCCCACAGACAGCAGCATTGATAGGGAAAGACAGACCCCCAGCCACCTCCCCTCCCTCCTAGAGTCAGTCACAGCAGAGACGACATACAGCAAGTTATACGCCAACACAATCTCAACCTCAACACTTCATAAGTCTAACGCTTGGTCAGACCGCCCTCTGCTGCCCTCTGCGTAACACTGTTTACGAAGAGGGCACACCTACTCGTCAATAATTCACGTGCAGGGTTCTCATAGAATGTTATAGAGTTTTCTAAACATAATCATGTACAGTAGGTGGCGGTATTCATCGCTGAAAAAAATAACCAAACAAATAAAATGACCGGAAGGACAGGTCCCAGCCGCAAAAAAAAACAAGAAGAAGAATTAGCTGATGTCATCGTAATTCAATTCAGTTTATTTATATAGTGCCAAATCGCAACAAAGTTGTCTCGGTGCACTTTAAAGGAACATTCACATACATAAAAAAGCCAATTAATAAAGTTCTCTATCTAAGGAATCCAGCAGACAGTTGATTCTTGGCTTTGTTGCAGTCTCTGCAACAGTGGAAAGGAAAAACTCCCTTTTAAAGGGAAGAAACCTCCAGCAGAGCCAGGCTCAGGACAAGTGGCCATCTGCTTTGACCGACTGGTTTGAGAGGACAGGAAGGAGAGACAAGCGAACACAAAATGGTAGGTCCAGATATAGGTCCAGGTGTACCCGAAAGAAAAAAAACCCACATGTTAAGGATAGAAAAAATTATTAAAGCTGCAAGCAGCATTGAAGGCCCTCGCAGCAAAGCGCCGCTCCGGCCTTACGGCGACTGCGGGAGCTCGGGTGCCTCCGCCCAGTCGCCATCGCGAATTCTCTGGCCCCCATCCCTCGCACGTTCACAGGGGTGCGCATTCGCCTAACCTTAGACTTCACCCGTGACCGCGAGAGCTCCAGCAATGCCTCCCAGTCGCCGTCGCGAACGCTCTCATGCCATTCCCGCACGCGTCCACCAGGGTGTGCATATGCCGAAACTTTGCAATCACCTCCCGCCCATTTCAGTATGAGTCTGGCTTCAAGCCTTACAAGTTTGGCTAAAATCTGACCTTACAGACGTGAGTTATTGACTTCCTTTAGGCTCTTCAACATGTCATATCTGGAAATCAACAGTTAGCGAATACGTTTTCAGTCTTAAATCTTACACAGTGCCAAGCTGGAAGAGTCAACCAAAAATCTTCAGTTTTTTTCTCTGAGTGGGCCAGGCTTAAGATAAGTCATGAAGCAACAATACCAGTGTGTCTATGCACAAAAAATATGGTTCAGATCGGCTGATGTGTCACTGAGATATAACTGATTAAATAATCTAGGGGGTGCTCTTGAGTCATATGTTAAACACAATATCATTGTGTCTAGACTTGCTAACTGATTACGCACAAAAATCTGGTTCCGATCGGATGATGTATCACTGAGAAATAACTGTTGGAATAATCTAGGGGGTGCTCTTGAGTGAAATGTTAAAGAACAATACCAATGTGTCTATAAGTGATCAGTGATCACGCACAAAAAAATCTGATACATATTGGATGATATTTCACTGAGATCTAACTGTTGGAATAATGTAGGGGCGCACTGGAGTCAAAAGTTAAACAACACCACCAATGTGTCTAGAAGTGTTAACTAATGACGCATCAAAAATCTGGCCCAGATCAGATGATATATCACTGAGATATAACAGTTTGAATCATTTAGGGGGCGCACTGGAGTCAAACGTAAAACAACAACAATACCAATGTGTCTAGAAGTGCTCACTAATGACGCACTAAAAATCTGGTGCAGATCGGATGATGTATCACTGAGCTATAACTGTAGGAATAATGCTCAAGTTCGTCCTGTCCAGATCCGACATGGAAAAATTAGTCCATGCATTTATTACAACCCGGCTGGACTACTGTAACTCGTTTTATGCTGGGGCCAGTCAGGTCTCTCTCTCACGTCTCCAGCTTGTCCAAAATGTTGCAGCTCGGCTACTAACAGGAACTCGCAGGTTTAAGCACATTACTCCAGTTCTGTCCTCTCTTCACTGGCTTCCTGTGCGTGTCAGAGTTGATTTTAAGATTCTTCTGCTGACATTTAAGTGTGTTAATGGCCTTGCACCCTGATACCTCTCTGACCTTCTTCATCCTTATACTAGTTCTCGGGCCTTGAGATCATCAGACCAGCTGCTTTTGGCTGTACCAAAAACCAGGCTGAAGCTCAGAGGAGATCGGGCGTTTTCAGTCATGGGCCCTAAACTCTGGA